GGCCTGCCTCAAGAGGAGAAGGTGGCGTTTGCGGCACAACACAGACTTATTCCCAGCTATCGACCAAAACAGGGGCCTCCTGAGAAGCATCGTACTTGGTGAGGACACCAGCAAAACACCACAGGACCTGACTTGCCACCCAAGTACTGCCTCACTACGGTCTCTGATGCCCAGTCCGCTGAATGGTGATATAATGAGGGGCACAATCTTGCCCATGGTGGGAATCAGCTGAGGATCCATGGAACTTTACCTTGGCTTCACCTAAGCCTGAAGTGTCTTTAACACGGAGAAATAAGGCTAAGCTAATATTAACATCCCATTTTAGCTAAGTAACATGTTTTGTATATTCCTGTTCCTAGTAGTCTGTCTGTGCAAATGTTTCTCTCAATCAATAATATATAGTATATTGAACTCTCCTATCTCTTACTTTTAGAGTCTCTTGTGGTGGAACCATTGCTAGATATTATGCATGTATTATGATACTTTACATTACTACATAAAAATGGACAGGGATAGTGAATGCCATACAAATGTTTTTCCATATTGTTTGCTCTAGCTGTTGTGACACTGCAAGCCTGTCTGTACCATCTATGCACAACTAAAATAAGGAATATAAAAATTAAAAAAAAATTAAAATAAAACGACAAGATTAAACCTTTTCAGCCTAGTACCAGACTGAATTACTGTAAATTCAGGGGAACTAATGGAATCATAGGGACTTTTCCAAACAGAATAGAGCAAACGTTAACATATACACAAACTTGAATGTGAAATTTAAAATGTTGAAGCTAATCTCATTGGTTCAACATGTGAGTACCTGGCACTGATGCAGTTCACCATTCCTGCTCAGCTCCACAATGTCGATAGCTTGAAAAGACCCTGACAAAAAAGAAAATCCTCAATGTCTATTGTGATGCATTTAATAGTCTAGTAGCATGTTCATTTTGAACTTGATCCTACCATTCCAATGTGCCAGTAGCCATTAAGTCACAAGTCAAAGCACAACTGGATAAATAAGAAGCTGAAGGACATCTTACTTCAGTATCAGAGACAACTGAATGGATAAGCAACATGGTTATCATTAGGGAGTGTGAGAAGATTAGAATTTTCAGTGATCCAATATTTCTGACCATAGTCATGAGTGTCACATGCATAATGCCAATACTTGAGGATGTATTGCACAAACAACCCAAAGCGTGGGTTTTTACACTTGTTGATGCAAGAGATGCTTTTTTTACAGTGCAAACTAGATGCAAAGAATAGAATTACCACATGCTGGACTCCCTGGGGCATAAAGAGATGGCTCAAACTGCCATTTAAGGTGGATCAGCAAAAGTAACATGAACTATTAAATGGGCACCACGAAACTGAGCCAATAGCTGATATTTTTATAGGCTGTGGAAATACAGATGACAAAACTGAGCATGACAATGATGATAGACTTATAGTGCTGTTGGATCATTGCAGGCAGGTGATGCTGAAACACAGCGTAAAGAAATTGCAATTGAAGGTACAAGACGTTTTCTTCCATGGACATATCCTGTCATTATTGGCTTAAAAGCTGACCTGGATAAGATCAGAGCCACTGTGGACACGCCTCAGCCGGATGACGCCAAAGCAGTACAGCGTTTTACGGCTATGTCACATATCTAAAAAAAAATTTTTAGGCCACACTTGTCTGAGGTATTGAGAAGACTTATGGACAAAGATGAAGTTTGGCATTGGCTTCCCAAACATGACCTGACAGTGGAAGAAAAAATTCTTGGTCACAGCTGCTCCGGTGTTAAAATACTATGATGTCACATAGTGACATTTCAAAGTGACATAGGCAAGATTGGCCTAGAATGTTGTCTATTGCAAGAAGATCAGCCTGTTGTATTTGCATCCTGAGCACTTTTTTCAGCCGAGCAAAGTTATGCTTAAATTGAGAAGGAATGTGTAAGCATTGTTTTTGCGTTCCAGCGTTTCCATAATTTTCTCTGCAATCAGAGCTGAAACTGGTCACAAATCAGTAATAGCCATCTTCAAGAAGCCTCTTTTGTGTGCTCCAAAACATTTGCAGAGCATGATGCTTACATTACAATCTTGTTGTCTACACCTCAGGAAGTGAAATGTACATTAGTGACACCCTAAGCAGAGCTGCAACAGAACATGTGATATCTGGAGACGAGCATGAGAAACATGCAGTTAGTTTGGCTGGAGCAGGAATACCATTTCCCTACCAAAGTCAATCAAGCAGACTATCTTATGTCTTAATGTCACAGATCAGCGGCTACATCAGCTCATACAGCACACAGAAAGAGGTACAACTTCAACTTTGGAAGCTCTAAAGTCTATAGTTCTGTTTGAGTGGCCAGATGAAAAGGATGCAGCATCTGCATTTGTGAAGGAATATTGATCCTTAAGAGATGAGATTATCGTACAAAATTGGTATGCTCTACAAAAGGTCCAAGAGTAATAGTGCCGAACTCGAGATGTTATTACACATGCGTTCAAGTCACATTGAGGGTGAGGCATACTACAGACAAGTTCACAATACTCTTTAATGGCCCAACATGCAAGGTGAAATCAAACACTTTGTCAGAAATTGTCCCACTTGCAATGAGTATGCACACTAGCAACAAAAGAAACCATGATGTCACGTGAGATACCTACATGTCCCTGGCAGATTGTCAGTATGGACTTATCCAAAAATGCCGGAAAAGAGTACCTAATATTAGTCAATCATTCCTCAGACTTTTGGGAAATTTTACTTCTTCCTGATATATTTACTGAAACTACAGTTAAAGGGATACTATAGTCACCAGAACAACTACAGCTTAATGTAGTTGTTCTGGTGAGTATTATCATTACGTTCAGGCATTTTCATGAAAACACTGCCTTAGTGTTTACATTGCCCCCTAGGGGCTCCTCCAAGTGGCCACTCAGATGGCCGCTTGAGGTGCTTCCTGGGGCAGCAGGGCACAGTAGGCAGCACTGCCATTCAGCATCTTCAAGCTCTGCATGGAGATGCTGAATTGTCCTCATAGAGATGCATTGATTCAATGCATCTCTATAGGAAGGTGCTAATTGCCCAAAATGGTGTTTGGCCCTGCCCACATCCTGCATCCATGCCGATTTCAACCAAACCATTGGGAAAGCATTGGATAGGCTAAAAATCGGCAATTTGGATGTCATTAAGGAGTTGGTTGTAACGGCTTACCTGAGGTAGGAGTCTGGTAGGCAGAGATATATGCTCACCCTTGCAATTAAAAACACAGGCCAAGGTGGTCCGGTAAGAATTCACCTGGCCTGAGAGTCTGTGCACGGGGGCTGTGCAGGATATTGCTCCAAGTTGCAGTACAGGTAAGGACACAGGCAGGAGAATCGTCAAGGGTAAGCCAAAAGTCAGAGGGTGCCAGGATACACGACAAGAAAGCCAAGGTCAGGAGCCATGTGGAGAACACTGGATCACGAATACAAAACACAGGAACCAGAGTCAATGAACTGACACTGCCCTGGTTAATTAGGCATACTATACAGGTGGACCATGGTTGACAAGAGCAGTCATAGGTTAAGTCCAGCCCCCAGTGCTGGAGACATGGCAGGACTACGTTTCAAGCCAAACCAAGAGCTGAAGTGGCTCAGAGGCAGGAACACAGGCTTAGAACCATATAGCACCCAGGTTCAAATACCCTGTTGGGCCCTTCTGAGGTGACCTCGCCTGGATGTCACGATGAGAACCGTGACATTGGGAGGGCAAGCGCTGGAGCCCTGGAAATAAGGTAAGTTTTAACCCTTTCTAAGGAGGGGCAAGCCACTTAAATTGTGAATTAAACACTATAGGGACAGGAATACATGCTTGTGTTCCTTTAACAGGTGCAAGGCACAGTCTGCATGTCATGGCCAGCCAGATAAAGTAATATATGATAATGGATGTCAGTTTGCAAGCTTATAATATAGAAAATTTGCCACTAAATGGGAGTTTGAGAGTGTGAATTCTTAAATACGTTATCCACAGGCTTACGGCAAAACTGAATCCACTGTGAAGATACTGAAAAATGTAAGCAACAAAACAAAAAGTTATGGTGAAGGCCATCTTACATTGCAGAAACACTCCAACCGAGGTCATGGATATTATTCCGGCACAGAGACTGATGACAAGGAGATTAAAGACATCCTTACCAGTAGCCAATAAGCTACTTGAACCATCTGTGATGGTGTACGAGAAATCAATTTTAGTTCAAAGCCACGAGTGAATCTCTGTCTGGCAGTCACTAGATGCGTGAGGATTGCAAAATGTAAACAGCACCATTTTTTTAGAAATAACAGTGTTCTCATTTGCAAGGCTAGGCAGCGTCTGTGCCCACAAATCAATTCAATACGTTAAAGTAATTGTGGTGCTTTGAGTGTCCCTTTATAGACAAATTTTCAAAATGCCATCACCACAATCTGGATTTAAAGGACTCCAAACTAATAAAAGTATAAATCACAAAGGACCTGATTGTTATGAAACTGCTAACCATCACTGTTCCCCAATGAGCTAATTTAAAATTCAATTTTTCCATTCACCAAAATTCACACTTAGGAGCACTCTCTTAAATAGTTGTGTTTGAAAGCCGGTTATCTATAAAAACTAAAACCAGATGTTCAGCTGGCACTTTTTTATCCTCTGTGGTTTTTTTTCTAAGTTTCCCCACAAAAATAAATAAAAACAAATAAAATAAGAAAAAAAGTCCTTGATAGATATAGAGTGTAAATAAACAGATCCCCGTAGATGTGGGAATGAACTCTGTACATTGATTTTTCCGTGAAGTTTTGTGATAACGTATAACTTTCTATTTCTGTTATCAGCGGCATAACAAGGCCAGGTATAAAGAAACTGAGAATAAATCTGTCATCACCCTACCAAAAAAAGAAACATCACATAATGGAATACCAAACGACAGCCAAATAGTTATTTTAGATTGTGTAACACTATATACTCCAATAGAACTGGTTAAATGTGGTCAAGCTCCCAGCTTTGTTTGTGTGCATGCATAAAGTTGAAAGGTCAAGTACCATTAAAAAAAAAAAAAAAGTGAGTCTCAGGACCCCTATTAAATCCCCTCAATTTCGAGTGCCACAGACAAACAGGGGTAAGAATAACCTATTGCACAACAAAACTGTCTGTGGAAATCTGCATATAATGAATTTGTGTTCACTTGCTTTTACTGGTGTCTGTTATGTTAGAAATATAGAGACATTTATGTGTATCTCTTATTAACAGCTTATTACACAGACAAGTCCTCCACTCAATATATTTGTAGCATACCTAGGTCTATGGGAACAATGCTATTGTTATGGATGTAAATTAGTGATCGTAAAATGTCTATTTACTGTGTACACCTGTATTCAATATCTACTCAAAATGGTTGCTAGAGCACCCCCTCCCACCGACTAACTACCTTGTGTAACAACATGGCGCCTACATCCGGAGACATCACGCCTCGTAGGATGTGCATTAGATAAGACACTTAACACCTAACCAATTAAAGATGTATTCTTTCTGTTATCTACATTTTTTGCATATGATGTATTTCTGCCTTTATAAGGGGCTTGCCGCCCCCCTGATTAAACATTCCAAAGTTCTTCATTAACCTGATACCTGTATCTCAGTGTGATTTACTTCAGAAGCGTGCAAGTATTTATTTTACCAATTTGGAAGGGAGCAGATACTCAAATAAACAAACACTTGGTTTGATCCACAACACTATTAAAAGGGACAGTTTAACCCCTTAAAGGACCAAACTTCTGGAATAAAAGGGAATTATGACATGTCACACATGTCATGTGTCCTTAAGGGGTTAAAGGGATAGCTCCTTGGAGTGGTCATGCTGTTAAGAACCGTTTGATATAGGCAAATGGAGGATCTCTAGATGTTGTAGAACTGCAATTTCTATGATGTATTGACATTCTAAAGGCTGGCAAAGCATCACGCCAGTTGTAGATCTACAACATCTGGGGATCTACCTTTTGCCAATTCTTGATATACACAAATGGTCTTCTCGGCACCAAGGGACATCCCCCATATTTAATGCATTGACAATACAATTAACTCTTCCGTATATCAGTGTCAATTTAATCTGAACTCTGACATCGATTGAGTGAGCATGTTCATAGAAAGTGACTGCAGATAACCATTCGGCCCATCTAGTCTGCCCAGTTGCCTAAATACTTTTATTAGTCCCTAGCCTTATCTTATAGCTAGGATAGCCTTATGCCTATCCCACGCATGCTTAAACTCCTTTACTGTGTTAACCTCTACCACTTCAGCTGGAAGGCTATTCCATGCATCCACTACCCTCTCAGTAAAGTAATACTTCCTGATATTATTTTTAAACCTTTGCCCCTCTAATTTAAGATTATGTCCTCCTGTCGTGGTAGTTTTTCTTCTTTTAAATATAGTCTCCTCCTTTACGGTGTTGATTCCTTTTATGTATTTAAAGTGTTTCTATCATATCCCCCCATCTCGTCTTTCCTCTACGATATACATACTAAGTTCCTTTAACCTTTCCTGGTAAGTTTTATCCTGCAATCCATGAACCAGTTTAGTAGCCCTTCTCTGAACCCTAAATCAAAGGAAATAGGGCGCGCCTTTAATGGAAATATATAAAAGTATATAAAATATAAAAATGGAGTAAAAGGAAGTCCAAATTGTATAAAATATAGATATATTAAATGAAGTAAGAAAGTCCAAATATATAGTCCATAAATAAATGAAGAATGTTCTTTGTAGCATAGTCTGGTCTTTTTCCAGGAGATGAGTTGTATTTCTCAATAGGCCACGTGTGGGAAAAATAAAGAGACGACCAATGGTACAGTATGTTGATATAAATGGAAATATATGTAAATAAATTGGAATTACTCACAATTTCCAGAGCTAAAATTCAGCTCTGGTATGAAATGCATTGAGTGGAATGATCCCCACTCTAGGATGCATGGAGCGGTGACTTGCAGGATAAATGATCCACCAAAGACTCCGACCGAAAATTAAAACAAATAAGGAGAATATAGTGCTCACTGTATAATATAGGTTTAAAAGAAGGTATGAAATGTACTTACAAAGTATTGAGCATTCTTATCTGCTCAATTTTTAGTGCATGGGTGGTATGATCCCCACCTAAGGATTTTCCGTAACTTCGTATTGGCTCAGGTTAGTCAGGTATGGAGTAAAAATTAGAAATAAAATAAAGAATGTGGCAGAAAAAGTTTGAGGCTGTTGGCTCTCTCAGCTGTCTGTGTTCAGTTCCATATGAGCAGAAGTGACATATCAGAGGTCATCTGACGTCACTTCCGGGTTAGCGATATCGCCATTTTAAGTGCCAGCATAGTAGTACGAGGCAAAGTTCATGGTATCCAAAATAATATGCAAAAAACTGAGAAAACATTAAGAACTCAATCTTAAAGGCATTTATAAATGCAGCATAGTAATTATTGTATAAGCTAGCAGATTCTGCAAGTATATTGCTTAGTGTGTATTCATAATACACTATATCTGCCTTATCTTTCCTTTTTGAGTACTCTATACTTCTGCATAGAAGTAGTATTGGTATTACCTTGAAATACCTCTGCGCATGAGATTTGAGCCTATCCCCTCAAGGCTCTGTACCATGTGAGTGTGCCTAATATAGACATTATACTGATACCGGAGAAACTGACGGAAGCAAAGCACAGAGGGATGGACACAGGTTTCTTCAGGAAGGAAGAGATTCTTTATTGGATCACCGATCGGGACTCAGAGGGACTAATGTCACCAAAAATACAGCAAGTTCTGAGCCCTGAACAATAGTGCAGGCTCCCTATATAGGCACATAACTCCTCCCATATTAAGCTCCACCCGCACATTCTCTTGACCAATCATTACAAATAAGAATTAACTTCCTGCTTGACCGCATGGCTTGTCCAGCACAATGGAGGAGGGGAATACTACATCCTGTATTCTTGCACATGCTCCGTACACTACTGATCGTATCTTGCCTCGTGCAACCAACTGATCGATACGTCAGCATATGCACGTACACATGCCACGTGGTAATCTCGGCCTACTAAATTTATTTTTACCGAGATTCCACCACATTCCCCCCTTTGATGCCTCTTGATATTTTACAATTACTTGAGGCATCACTTAACCTTGGTTTGCATACACCACAAGTTACCTTTGAACCAGACCAGACTTATCCTATGATGTGAATCTTCAACACTCGTCTTCCTGCATTGGTTCTCCCTGATCTAGAGCCTTATATTTATAAATTGCCATTATCTGTGCAGCAGCCTTCCTCTCTGCTATATTTTCTATCAGGCTTTGCACAGACCTAACTACTAAGGGTATAAGACACGGCAGGAGTAGACACAACATTAAAATCAGTAGGACTCCACCTACCACTGCCTTAAGCCCTCCAAACCACTCATACCAGCTACCAAACCAACTACTTGGATTGTACCCTTTCCATACCTGAGTAGGCACATGCGCTAGTTTAACCATATGGCTAGTAAGCTCAGCTATTGCTTGCCCTTCGTCATCTATTTGAAGACAGCAATTGCTCAGGTTAAACTTCCCACATACACCTCCCTCTACTGCCAAAAGATAATCCAAGGCTAATCTATTTTGGTAAACTGCTGTCCTCATCCTGGTATTATGCTTCGCTAGAAGATTGAGCGCTTGTGATGTCTCGTTAGTAATGATCTCAACCACCGCCTGTAACCTTATAATGCGGTTGAGCATATAAATAGGGGTTCTATAACCAAAGGTACCATCCTCTGCCCACGTGGCTGGCCCATAATAATCTATAATACGCTGGGGAGGCCATTCATTATCTTCCCAGGCACCCATCTCTATGGGTCCCCTTTTCTTCCTATGATTCACATCATACACTTTAACACCTAAAGTCTCACCTGTTTCAATAGGCAACAAGAAGAAGGATGGTTTTAACATACCCAACACACATGCCCCTTCCCAGTCCTGTGGTAACTCCGAATAGGCCTTCTTACCACAGATCCAGTACAAATTCGCTGGGGCTCTCCAGTTAGATGTGATGGATAGATCAAACCATACGTCCTTTAAATTGGCATATCTTGCAAACGGGTTAGATGGTTCTGAGACATTTGAAGCCGACCACCAAGTTGTATTCTTTGTATCATCATCATAAGCTTTTTGCCCTAGACAAGTTAATTCTCCTACAGAAGTATTATACATCATTCCTTTCCTCGCTATGCAAACATAACCTATGATGGAGGTCTTCAATCTCCACTCAGATTTACCTCTAACACTCATATGATAGTCGGCTTGTGTAGATATTAATTGGTCAACTGCCTCAGAACCGGACATTACCTCCTTTGCTTCCCAAGGCCATTGGTCTCCCATGTTAGTACCTCCACACACATAGCAGTTGGTAACATTAAGACTACCGGCAATACTCTCGGCTAAATCAATGAACAAGTTTTTAGCATTATGGGGGATCTTATTATCTATGCTCATCTCTTCATAAAAGGAATGGTATACTTGATGAGTTTGGGAGGTTACCGTATCAGACTCTATCCCTATAAACAATATTGTCCCAGGGTCTAAACCCGTCCCATATATTTGAAACCCAAATAAATTACCATATTTATCTAAGAACTTGTCAGGGTTATTTATAAGTATATGGATTGGATTGCATTCCATAGACTTACAATATGGATTAGTAGGCAACTTAGTCACAATCATGTCCTTGTCTGCTGTCTGTCCCCAAGTCGCCCACCCCACACAAGACCAATATGGGCAGAAGTTATAATCTCTATTTGGGCATCTTGGACTTACATATTTATTTTTACTACTGGGACAAATATATTTATCGTTAGACCCATACGTCCTCTCCCATCTAAGATCCCCACATACATTCCACGGCTTTCTACCACTTGATATTGCTTTACACGCATCAAATAGCAGAGCACCTGAAGAATATACGGATTTTAATACCGTCTTATTAATTAGGGTCCCCTGAGAATCTCCATTTCTGAGAGTCAACCAAATTGTACGGGGTTGATACTCAGGACTGAAGCACTTAGGTTCTCCTACTCCTAAATGACACACACTATATTCTATATTTAAGTATCTACATCTTGATACATCTCCTTTACACTCATATTGCGAATGCCAAATTAGGGTCTGGGATATATGGCTACCTGTTCTTGTAGTCTTAATGCATACCTCACAGCTAGGAGTGTTGGTACCTCTACCTTCCTGAATATAAAAATACACATAAACAAAC